GAGCTTATAATCTAGTTCGAATTAAGAAGGGACATGAGTGGAAAACGGCTTTTAATACTCGCTATGGCCATTATCAATATAGGGTTATGCCCTTCGGCTTATGCAACGCCCCGGCAGTCTTTCAAGATTTCATAAACGATGTATTAAGGGACTATCTACAAACGTTTGTTGTTGTCTATTTAGACGACATACTCATCTACTCTAAGAATATCAAGGAGCACCATAGACACGTTAGGATAGTTCTATCTAAATTATTGAAAAACGGACTCTACTGTAAACTAGAAAAATGTTTGTTTGACGTGGAGAAGGTTAATTTCTTGGGTTACATAATTTCAGGTTCAGGCTTTCAAATGGAACCTAAAAAACTGGAAGCAATTTTAAATTGGCCCATACCCATTGGACTTAAAGCCATCCAACGTTTCCTGGGGTTCGCTAATTACTATTACCGCTCCTATTACCGCTATGACAAAGAAGAATAGAAGTCATACGGTGTGGAGTACCGAAGCTAAGGAAGCCTTTGAAAAATTGAAACTAGCCTTTTCTTCAGCCCCGGTGTTAAGTCACCCTAATCCTTTGCGTCCTTTTTTGTTAGAAGTGGATGCTTCAGAGACAGGGATAGGGGCTGTACTCTCTCAGAGATCCTCGAATGATCAACCCCTGCATCCATGTGGCTATTTCTCTAAAAAACTGACGGAAACAGAACGAAGATATGATATAGGAGATAGGGAATTGTTGGCTATCATTTCAGCGCTCAAAGAATGGCGGCATCTATTAGAGGGGTTATCTGAACCGATCATCATCCTCACTGATCACAAGAATCTTTCCTATTTTGGAGAGGCAAAAAGAATGTCTGACAGGCAGATTCGTTGGTCTTTGTTCCTAACACGTTTTAACTACATAGTGACGTACAGGCCCAGTTCTAAGAATACGAAAGCAGATGCCTTATCTCGACAACATGAGCACCTATCTCCCCTAGTAACCCATTTATCTTCCATAATCCCTACTTCACAAATTGTCGCCACAGTCCATACTAAAATCTCTTCTAGCTTAATGGAAGTATTGTCCAAATGCCAAGACCACAACTCCATAACTATCCCTCAGGGGAAATTATACGTACCTTTAAATTATAGGAGACGAATCCTATCCTTGGTACACGACTCTAAGATTGCCGGTCATCCCGGTATCCATAAGACAGAAGCACTACTCGAAAAGCAATTCTGGTGGCCCTCTTACAAGAAGGACGTCCGAGAATATGTCCTAGCCTGTAACATCTGTTCCTCTAATAAATCTCCTAAAAGTCGCCCTTTAGGCCTCCTCATGCCGTTGCCTATTCCCGAAATGCCATGGTCGAGTATCGCCATGGATTTCGTAGTAGACCTGCCACCTTCAAAAAATCACCGGGTAATCCTAACTATCATCGATAGATTTTCCAAAATGTCTCACCTAGTCCCTTTAATGAAACTTCCTTCATCCTCCGAACTGGCCACAATATTTATAAGGGAGGTGGTTCGTTTACACGGTATCCCTACAGATATAGTCTCTGACAGAGGCTCACAGTTTATTTCCAGGTTTTGGAAAGCGTTTTGTGATCAGTTGGGTATCAAACTTAATCACTCCTCTTCATACCATCCCCAATCCAACGGAGTTACAGAGAGAATGAATCAATCACTAGAACAGTACATTCGCTGCTTCACCTCCGATCACCAAGATGATTGGATGGAGTTACTCCTTTGTGCTGAATTCGCCCACAATAACTGGGTTCACGAGTCGACACAACATAGCCCCTTTTTTATAAATTATGGCTTTGACCCTATTACTCTTCCGAGTTCCTTTTCATCCTCGGCAGTGCCAAGCGTTGACTACACTGTAAAGAATATGAAAGAAACTTGGATAGGGGTCAAGCGTATCCTGACTCAAAAGGCCGATGCTCAAAAAAGTAAAGCTGACACTCGGCGCAAAAATGCTCCGAATTTTATAGTGGGGGATAGAGTGTGGTTGAGTACACGCAATATTAAATTACGAGTTCCCTCTATGAAATTCGCTCCGCGATTCATTGGTCCTTTTAGGATCCTCCAACGGATTAATCCAGTCTGTTATTGCCTGGACTTACCGGCTAATATGAGGATACCCAATTCCTTTCATGTTTCTCTTCTGAAACCTTTGATTTGTAATCGTTTTACTCGGAAACCCAGGACTCCTCTTTCTACACTCATTGATGGCCAAGACGAGTACGAGGCTAAATCTATTTTAGACTCTCGTGTCTCTAGAGGTCAGCTCCAGTATCTATTGGATTGGAAGGGATACGGCCCCGAGGAAAGGTCATGGGTGGATGCCTCGGACGTGCATGCGCCTCGCCTGGTCCGTTCCTTTGCTAGGCGTCGTTCTCGCGGGCCCTGTCCTCCCCGCCCTGGGGGCGGTCCTCGAGGGGGAGGTACTGTGATGATACCTTACCTGTGTCCGCCGATCCCGCGCAGCACGGCGGTTCCCCGTGCTGCGCGCCGACGTCATGATAGTTTTGCCGCGAAAATTCGAACGCGGTCACGCTCCCGGACCTTTTGGGGGCGTGGCTTTAAAGTGACACACACATCAGTATAAAAGGGCATCCCTGTCCACCCCTCAGTGCCCTAGTGTGGTTCTTGATCGTTCCTCTGGTGCTCTTATACTTAGTTATCTGTTTTTCTGGTATTTTGACCCTTGGCTCCCGTACTGACGATTCTCCAATCTGGCTCCCCGACTTTTGGCTTGGCTTTCTCGTTTATCCCGATTTCCGTACTCCCTTGATCCTTGACTTTTCCTTTGACTATTCTCTGACGTTAAGTCCGGCCACCCTATACGTCATTTCTGTATACGTCCATTTCTGGGTTACCATCTGTGTGAAGGGGTCACTGTCGTGACAGCGTGAAGAGGAAGAGTTGTGGTCACCATCACCACCAGAACCAGCCTTATCAGCATCGCTTGCTGGACCTGCGGCAACGCTGGAAGAGGATTGTGAGGAAGAGGAGTCAGAGTAGGAATGTGGCTTTGAGGAGGAGGAGGAAGACCAACCACAACAGGCATCCCAGGGTGCTCTGTGTCACCTATCTGGTACCCGTGGTGTTGTACGTGGCTGGGGGGGAAGAACATACCTTCATTGAGATCACTGAGGAGGAGGAATGGGAAATGAGTAGCTCAGCATCCAACCTTGTGCAAATGGGGTCTTTCATGCTGTCATGCCTGTTATACACCTTTATTAAGATGAATGAGGGATGGATCCCGACGGGACTGACAGTGAGCGATACATCCTACTAAAAAAGGCCTGATAAGATGAGCTGCTTTAGGCTAAAAATGGTCCACACGCTGCTGTATTTTAGCTCTGAATGCCGGTTGACTTGCGTGACTTATCCGCCACCAACTAGGGTTCAAGCCGCAATGTTTTAGGGCAGTGCTCCCCAACCATTTTATCGCCGCGGACCGGTAAACGTTTGATCCACGTACCGGTCCGCGGCCCGGGGGTTGGGGAACACTGTTTTAGGGCACTTTCTGCCTGGGAAACAAACATCAATTCTTCTGGCCACTGCTACAGCAGCGGCTGCAACAATACCTAATTTTTCAGGCATGTGTACATGCCTAATTTTTCGGGCCTCTGGTACTGCACTGTGGTTTCAAAAACCAAACCAAAAAAAAGGCACATAACAGGGATTAAACTGATAAGAATAATACTACTTAACACACCTTATAATAACGCAGAGAGAGGCAACGCAGAGAGAGGAGTCTGAAGAAGAGGAGTCAGAGGAGGAAGGTGGCTTTGAGGAGGTGGAAGACCAAACACAGCAGGCGTCCCAGGGGCTTGTTGTCACCTTTCGGGGACCCTTGGTGTTGTACGTGGCTGGGTGGAGGAAGAGACCTTCAATGACATCAGTGAGGACAAGGAACGGGACATGGCTAGCTTGGTATCCAACCTTGTGCAAATGGGGAGTTTGCGGTTGTGCAAATGGACTGTTTGCTGTTGTTTGCGGTGCGTTAAACGGGGAGTTTGGTCTGTCACTGTGAAGCGGGCGTAACCCTTACACTACCTGATCGATACAACATCATACAGTAGGTCCCCCCCCCTCATTATTTTTTTCTGCTCTGTGTCAGTGTGTATCAGGGGCTCTGAGGACAGGTGTCAATCCATATCTGCCAAGTGACCCTATGTAGGAGGAACAGTCTCTATTCTGCTCTGTGTCAGTGTATATCATGATCTCTGAGGACAGGTGTCAATCCATATCTGCCAAGTGACCCTATGTAGGGGGAACAGTCTCTATTCTGCTCTGTGTCAGTGTGTATCAGGGGCTCTGAGGACAGGTGTCAATCCATATCTGCCATGTGACCCTATGTAGGAGGAACAGTCCCTATTCTGCTCTGTGTCAATATGTCATATGTCAGGTATCAATCCATATCCATTGTGATTTAGGGATGTTAGGTGATTTCTGCCCTTTATGGATTAAGACCAGACTCTGCATCAACTGTGTAATTTTCCGTGGGAGTTTTGCCATGGATCCCCCTCCGGCATGCCACAGTCCAGGTGTTAGTCCCCTTGAAACAACTTTTCCATCACTATTGTGGCCAGAAAGAGTCCCTGTGTGTTTTAAAATTCGCCTGCCCATTGAAGTCTATGGTGGTTCGCCCGGTTCGCCATTTCGCGAACATTTGCGGAAGTTCACGTCCACCGTTCGCGAACCGAAAATTTCGGGTTCGCGACATCACTACTTACAAACTTCCTTTCCAAAAATGTATGTTGCCTTTTACCATCTGCTGATTTTTTTTTCTCTCCTTTCTTCTCTTTTCTATCCACCTCTTTTCTCTCTTTAGTTCTATAAAACAGTCGCTCTTCTTTTGGACACATTTTCCACACATATACTACATCAATAAGAATATTAATAAAGTTTTTATTAGAATAAATAATGACAGAATAAATAAAATAAAAAATGACAGTTGTTAATGTTTACTCCCGCAGAGTCCATCTTTTTTTGCCTCAGTATTCAAATCCAATCGGCCACCCAGTCGAAATCTTGGAACAGGTCTTGGTCTTCTAAAGGTGATTCTTCCGGTGGTGTTAGAATGGGGTCCAGTGTTGTAAAAGCTCTGTCGAAATGACTGACGTCCTTTGGTCCGGCAATGGATGGTACAAACGGATTTATTATATTCTTAAAAAGCAACGCACTCCAGTCTACTACCTGTTAAAAAAATAAAAAAGATTTAAGAAAAATTTGAAAAATAATTCAGGTGTGCCACGATATAAGCCAGTAAACTAATAATTTAGAATAAAGGCCATTATCTCTACACATTCATAGATGGAATTTATACAACATGGACATACTTTGAAAAAAGGATGTTTCTTGACAGCACTGGCACCAATCCTGGCTCCTAGGCGGGATCTAGAGTTTTTATTCATAAGCTGCATAAAGGGGGAGGAGAAAGGAAAATGTTATTTAATCTGAAAAACTGAGAATTAAAGGCATTTTCTTGCAGGTCCTGTAAGATCTGCCTTTATCAGCTCAGGCAGAATATTTACTACAGAGATCAATACAAAGTAGGCACCACGTCACAATGGCATCATGTTTGGTGCCCAGACATTGCTCTGCCCTGATTGATGGTACAAGTCATGCTTACTGCTTGTATTTATTTCATTCCCCAAATATAAATTTAACTTCTTTTAATCTCTAACTAGACCAATGTATTTGTGACTGCTTGTTCTATTCTGTTACAGCCAATCACACAGTTTTTACAGAGGACCAGCTGTGTTTTCAGAGCCTTACCACTCAAACTGCCCGAGCCCACATTCATACACAGTGTTAGCAGCTACACAGAGCGGAACAGGCAGGGGCACGCATCGATCGGCGCACAGAATGAAACGTGTCTGTTCTATGGAGCAATGTGCATAATTGATAAGAGTAAAATTCTTCATATAAAAAAAGGAAATCATATGATTCACTTTTTGTAAAATCCTTCCAAACCTCCCCCAATGCATTGACCCTTTCCGTATACCTTATATTTCACTTTCTAACAACTGTCAGAGTTCAAACAAGATGATGGGTTGTATGGTGTAAGACGCTGAGCTGTGATGTCATTCATCATTAAAGCCATATGAGCTGTATTATTTAGAAGCAGAGCTCCACGCGGAATCTTTAATCCTGGAGCTTCCAAGAGCTATAACATCACCATCTGCTTGTCTCCTACCAGACATATCTACTAATATAACAGCTCTCAGACTTCCTTCATCCCAAGGTAGCTCGTCAGCAATCCACTCATCAACAGTGATTGGAAATTCTGACCTCAGCTCACCCAATATGTCAAAAACAAAAAGCACTAAACACGCGTTGGCAACTTACACTTTTTATTATTGAGAGCGCTTCTAAAGACAGGAACTCTGGATAGTCAGGTTCAGTGTTAACTACCTTATACGATATCTCTGTCTCTCGATCTTTACCTGTAAAGGGAAACTAGTAGGAAAAAAAACATTTTAGATGCATATTGTAAGATGCAGAAGTTCGTTTTTGTGACAAAATATTTATTATCCTGCTAGAAATTGTCACACACATACAATAGAAATCACTGAGTAATATATACTGCAATGAGAGTCATGAAAAAATAACTTATTGATGTAAACCATTAAACACTGTGGCAAGATGACAATAGTGTTTATAGCACTCACACTCCTGAGAGCCCATAATCTGCTCTGTATAAATGGCCCGCACAGAGAGGGCACACGGTCTTCACAAACTGTGACAAAGAGAGTGCCCACTGTGCAGGGTTGGCCTGGAATCTACACTGGGTAATTTCTCTAATGTAAATGGTTTTCCAAAGCAGAAACATTAAATAAAATATAAAGAAATTGAGAGGGTATTAGAGAGATAAAATCAGTTTAGATAAATTGGAGAGGGATGTATTGGGTTATGATATTTAGATAAGCACTATAATGAGCTGAAGTGGTTATAGTGCTCATGGTTGCCCCTTTAAGCCTAACCAGTCTATAGTTTAACCCCTTAAGGACACATGCCATGTGTGACATGTCATGATTCCCTTTTATTCCAGAAGTTTGGTCCTTAAGGGGTTAAGATACTATCAGTTTCATCAATGGACTGGATGACATCACACAAGGGATTTTGGTTTCCAAAGAAGGAATCCTACAAATTGGTAAAAATATGCTATACCTACCCTTCCACACAGCATGACATAAATTACTACGCCCAGACTCCACCAATCAACAGATCTTGCGTATGGTTTTCTCTCAAATATTTCTGGCGCCATATATTCCAGTGTGCCACAGAAAGAGTTGGTTCTATCGCTGTATCCCATCCCTCGTAAATAGAGAAAGTATAAATGTACATCAGTAAATATAGAGTTGGTTTATTTTGCTGATATACAGTATGCTATTTTTTTTATTAATTTCATGTTATTTTTTTCCAATTGATATTAGAATATTGCTGCAAGGAGTCAGTGTGTTGTATCTGCAGATTCTCTGTGAAATTTCGTACAAATGTTTCCATGGTTTTCACGAATCTGTATTATGTTCCAGCATCTGATCTGACTAGTGTTCCAACATTTCCTGAACCTCTAACTAGATATGAATTTGTACAATGGCCCCTTATTTCATTTTACACCAATATTTGATTTCATTGCTTTGTGTTTCATTTATACTTTTATTTCGGTCTGCAGTTGAATGTTATATGTCTATGGCCAATGTTATTCTGTAAATTTGTAATAAATTACTTTAGCTAAATATAACATTATTTTTACCTTGTTTGCTAAGACCAAAGTCGGTAATTTTGGCGTAACCGTCCTTGTCTACAACGATATTCCGCAATTTAAGATCTCTACATTAAAATATAGAATAGGAATTTTTATTATTTTTTACATATCACGAAAGGGTACTTGGATTACAGGGTTTTCTTATTTAGACTAAATAAAAGGTTAGATTTAAGGACTTATCTAATTTATGATAAAGTTAACATAATATTACTAATTAATTAAACCACAGACAATATTTTAATGGCAGTACAGTAAATACGACAGTTAACATTTCTGGGGCCAATATAACTGTATGTGCATCTTTAGTTTTTCCTGTACACTTACCTGTGAGCAATCTTGTTCTGATGTAAAAATTCAAGGCCGAGCACACAACAGGCAGCATAAAACCTGTAGAAAATAGAATAAGTCTCTTTTATCTTGGGGAAGGAAATTACGGTTTTGTACCATTGGACAGTTTAATTCCACTATCCTCTGTCACTCTATGCTCAGGCATATTTCATGCATTGTTTTGTGTCTGTCTAGGCTTCACTGAACTTGTAGTCCAACTTAAGTTTTGTTTGAAGTTCTAGCCGGGTGATCATAATCCCCAAATTATACTTACATAGCTCTGCTTTCTGTAAAAGCTGCCATGTTATTATTAAGAGTTGACATTAGGTCTCCACCAGCGGCATATTCCATCACAAAGCAGACAAGATCTTCAGTCTGGAAACTTGCGAACAAATTCACAAGGAATGGGTGTCGTATGCGGCTTATGGTCTGAAAGATGTTCTTCTCATATTTAAGACTTGAAAATAAAAAGGGAATAATTAAATTAATCACTTTTGCCAACAACAAATCGGACTACCATCCAAAATATTTCCATTTTAAGTATTCTCCATCCACTGACCAGTCGATAGAATTAGATGCAATTATCTTTCGTTTTTTCTGGACTTTTAGTGCGAACGTGGTGTTTGTACGTTTGTGGTCAACAAGTAGAACCTGAACGTTAAAAAATATATGTATATTTGTTAGATAACATTTGTTTAGACACCTTTTATTTCTCACTAGAATTGGAATTTACCCAAAACCCACCTTTCCAAAGTGTCCTCTGCCCAGCACAGAGAGACATTGGAAATCCTCGAGGCTCAGTTGTACTTCTCGGTGAATGCTGCAAAGAAAAGAACATTTTTTTTCTCATATTTATAATTACTCATATAGCTCCCATCCTGATGAAAAAAACAAGAGTGCTCCTATAACACACAGTATAATTTATCATACCATGGGTCCTGAGACTGTTCCAGATCTTGAAGGAGACTGTTTTCCTGATTGGACACTCTACCATCATGTAGAGGTGTATTACATGGGACTTGGTTTGAAGTGTAGTCCCTAGAATAGACTTGGCATGCTCCAGAATCCTGGAAAAGAAAGTTAAACATTATTAATAAAAAACGTTCCATTAGTGCTTGTTATAATAAAACAAATAAGGATCCAATCTATGTACTAAACCCAGAGTTTAAATATGTCCATGATTTTATAGAAAACATTCTACACCAAGCTTGCAATTATTCCATGTTCATCAATAATGAAGTTTGTGCTACAGCTGAACAAATAAACAAAATAAGAAAGTTAGAAAACTTTATATCTTTACCTGAGACAGAATATCTGGGATTATAACATGAAGTCCTGGCTGATCACTGCAAAAAGATGTATGATATACAACAGGAGACTCTTCTGGCTCAGATTCAGTGTCTGATGATACTACAGGAGAAACACTTTAAGAAGGAAAAAAATAGTATTTATTTAGATGGCACCTTTTAGATCTGATATCATCATATCTTTATAGTCAGAGTGTCTTAGTGGAAAATTCTGCAACATCCAGGGCAATGTTAAAGGGATTCCCCTGGAATATCTATCACTAGGGTTGTAGATTGCCATGTTTTATAATACACAATGATTGTGTATTGTGTGAAATCAATTTATTAATTACAGATGGGATCACAAAGGACCAGCCATGATTAAATACTGTATTTCACTCTGGTAACAGGGGAATTCCACATTCTGCTGGGAAGAACTTTCAAGTCCCGTCAGAGAAAATGCAATTCATAAACGTTCTATAAAAATAGTTTGCTATGGAAACATTACTTGTTACAAACAAACTGCAGACAACGTTAATGATAAGCATGCTGGAAAATGGGCAGACAAAAAGTTATAGTGCCTTAACCTCACCCATCTTACTCTCACACGTGAGTTTTTGTGTACATAAAGAATAACTTTAATAAAAGACAAGCTTATTATATAAATAAAATGGAGTGACAGGTGGAAAAGGGGAGCAAATAAGGAGTTTATGGTAAATGTGTAGCCGTTTTAACAGTATTGATGCGAAAGATGAATATGTGAAAATACCTAATTGACCATGATGACTCTTGGCTCCCAGTGTTACACACTGGCAATGGAAGAAGGTCAATAGCTCCATCCTCTGACATCGATTGGCTGGCCTCTTGTGAATCAGTATTGTCAGTGGGCGGTGATGACTCCACGCTCTCAGTGTCAAATACTGGCAATGGAAGACTGCCAGATATTATAGCCTCCTCAGATACTGAGTGGATAGTCTCCTCAGTATTGTTAGCGACAGCCAGCGGTGATGACTCCCCACTCTCAGTGTTAAACACTGGCAATGGAAGACTGCCAGATATTATATCCTCCTCAGATACTGAATGGATAGTTTCTTCAGTATCGGTATCGATAGCGGGTGGTGATGAAACCACGCTCTCCGTGTCCGATACTGGCAATGGAAGACTACCGAATACTATTTCCTCCTCAGATGTTGATTGGATAATCTCTTCATTATTGGTATCGACAGCTGGCGGGGATGGAACCACACTCTCAGTGTCTGATACTGGCAATGGAACACTGCCAGATATTATATCCTCCTCAGATGCTGATTGGATAATCTCTTCATTATCGGTATCGACAGTGGGCGGTGATGGAACCACGCTCTCAGTGTCCGATACTGGCAATGGAAGACTGCCAGATGTTATATCCTCCTCAGATGCTGATTGCATGGTCTGTTCAGTATCGTTAGCGACAGTATGCAGTGATTGAACCATGCTCTCAATGTCCAATACTGTCAATGGAAGAACGTCAGATGTTATATCCTCCTCTGACGTGGACTTGATGGTTTCTTCTGCATTGGTATCGACAGCTGGGGTGGATGGAACCACGCTCTCAGTGTCTGATACTGGCAATGGAAGGATGTCAATAGATGTATCCTCCTCTGCAGTGGGCTGGAAGGTCTCTTCTATAAAAGTAACAGAGAACATAATATAAGTATTGTATATGATCAGTAGTAAATATATTAATTACGTTCATAGCAATCCAAAAACAAGAAAAAAAGTAACAAAATCTCCAAACCTAGAACTTTGTTTCAGCCAAGATTTCTGTATTATAATAACCATGACTCATAATTAATACATTGAAACAATGTTTAGTGTTTAAGAGGACTGGCATCCAATGAAAATAATGAGCTTCAGGTTGGTATAAGTAATGTAATCTGTGTATACTGCATATGGTATAAGATGTACATCCTGCGCTATGGTTGTTATAGTGAATGAACATGTATCAGTCTATCTACCTGTGAGAAAATGAAATGTGAAATCCCTCACTGGTTACTGAGCGCATTCACATTGCTTGACAAGTTTTCTATCACACGGGGGCTAGTACTGGGGTACAAGGGGTCACCTCTTGTCAGTAACCAAATAATAACCAAGTCTCCCTGACAGATGCTTTTAAAGGCCCCTGGGCGGTTTGCTATTTAATGTGAGATGTTAAACAAACACTTACCTTGTTTTTTGGAGAAGAATTTCTGAATTGTCAGAAGTTTTGGCCTTTTCTGGATGGAAGCATTGGAAAATGTCACCTATTTCAAAACAAAAACCAAAAAAGTTAACAGCAGGAAGTAAATGATAATATCCTCATTATGCCAAACCAACATATAAACAGACTCACAAATGGAAAATAAACAGCTTCTAATCTCTTCCTCTACAGCTAATCACAATAAGCAAAGCCCCTCATTTACTTAAACAGTTTAGCATTTGATACAGTGTCCTTTATCTTAAAAAGAGAACATTTCTTAAGATACTATAAGCTGTTATGTAGCTAATATGACGTACATTGATAGGTTTATTCGCTAAACACTGACTTGTGTGAATTGAAAACAAAGTTGAGCTAAGTCAAGATGTGACTATAGCGGACATATTTTGCAACTCCATTTACAATTCAGTACAATTTAATATTAAGTCAATAGACTTCATAGCGCTCTGATATTTTTACATCTAGAGAAATATGTTGGATAAATTAATCGTCCTTTTGTTTTTTGTATAATTAAAACATTTAAATAGGTAAATAACTATAAATTGATAGTGGCCTGAGATTGGTTCTCACCTTGATGAAAAGGGTGCCCTGTGGCTCCAGCTGTAGACACAGTTCCTGCTTCCGGTTCACCAGGAATTCTTCCAACTTCAGCGTCTTTGTGGCACACAGTGATCTCCTATCGTGCCAATATAAGGATAATTCTAACTCCCGAGACTATGTACACATTAACAAAGAAAGGAAAGAAAAGTTATCGACTATATCACTGATTCTATAAAAAAATAAAATAATTTCTAAATTAAGATAAACAAACCCAATGTATAATAACTCTCTAAATCATAACTGGATGAAGACACATTAAGGTCCTAAAAGGTTTAGAAAAAGAGTTCCAGTTAAACTGACTTAGACAACTCTTTACAGGATATGCAGATTTATGGATTAGTATAAATTCTTCCTGGGGCCACCAATGGATGTTGATTAAGAATGTAATATTCATACTTAAGTCACTTGAGTTAATATTTCTGAAAAAAATGTATCTTTCTAGGGTGAATATACTTGAGTTTAATGACATTCATACCTTATTTAACTCCAGTTTAAATGTCTCATTCCATGATTGTTTAGACACAGTTTTCCAACTGGTTGAACCCACTGGAATATGGTCAATCTTCAGCTGAGCACGGACCTCGTCTGTAAGGAAATTTCAGGAACTCAACTTAAAAGGCTAAGAGTATTTCATTATAAAGAACAATTCTTATCGAGAATGTAATCAACACACGGCCATTGTAACAATATAGCTGACAATATAAAGTTATTATCTTTAACCAAAGTTCTAGGAGTTTGATTTTATTTGGGGAGTCTATTTTCCTGCACTCCGTAAAAAGGAAATTAAACAAAAAACAAATTTGTAGCTCGCCAGGTACTATGGTTGGAATATAAACAAGGAGATATATGTGAAATAAAATAATACAAGAACATCGTAACGAAAAACGTTGAAAATTATATTTTTGTCCTCTGCCTTTTCTATTTGGTGAGTAATGTAGAGGATGGAGTTTGTATGACGAGTAAGTCCCAGTTTAAATGTGGTAAAGTAATTATTATCATTTATATATTCTGCAGCACTTTTACAATTTTTTAATTGGGGGTCGACCTGCAGCCCCCCAGTACCGAGATATAATTATTCAGGTTGATTTTCCTTTGAGTGGCTAAGTGGGAGAGCAGAAGTTCGATACCCCAGATATTGTTCTGTTATTGAGCATCACTGGACACATAATGGGAAATATAAGATAAAAATCACTGTACTGGAAAAGCCAACAGTCTCTTGGATGTTCTGACTGCCGACACGGTTGTTTCTTCTGATTCGGCTCATTAATGAGAATCTTCCTTGACGTGTCCTCCTTGCTGGGAGAACATCTGACAGGTCTTTTAGTCTGCCAGGTACATTCTCCAGAATATTGTGACAGCCCTTTACTCGCACTTTCAGGGTACCTGTCAAACAATCAGAAATTATATTGTAACAATGACTATTAGATTTTCACTTGTGTCATCACATGAATATATTAACCTCTCACCAAATGTTCACTCAATACATCTCCTACAATAATCAAATATCAGATTCCCTTATGGATTCCACCACCCCTCTATCATCTCTGTAAACTGGCATATTTATAGAAAGAAATAGACCTTCAGCAACCATGAAATATACAATTTATGTTACAGGGAACTTCATAGCTGGTCTAGGTAGCACACACAGAATATTCAATAATAAGGCAGCTTTTACATCTTTATCGGATATAAATCAATCAAAACAGAATTTATAAACAGATAAAAACTCAGTAGCTTCACTTAGTCCCTGCTCGATCCTCAAAGAAGGTTTGTCACTTGTGCCATTAGAGAAGAAATCTATATTATTTGTAGATATTTTTAAACACACACAGGAGAAATTCAGAACAGAATGCAACAAGTCCACGCTATACAAGTTGAAGCCACAAGGAACCCACTTCTGGATTAAAGGACCACTCTAGGCACCCAGACCACTTCAGCTTAATGAAGTGGTCTGGGTGCCAGGTACTTCTAGGGTTAACCCATTCTTTTATAAACATAGCAGTTTCAGAGAAACTGCTATGTTTATAAAAGAATGGGTTAAGCCTTCCCCAAAGCCTCTAGTGGCTGTCTCATTGACAGCCGCTAGAGGTGCTTGCGTGCTTCTCACTGTGATTTTCACAGTGAAAGCACGCCAGCGTCCATAGGAAAGCATTGCAAATGCTTTCCTATGCGACTGGCTGAATGCGCGCGCAGCTAGCCGAATGGGCGGAGAGGAGGAGGATCAGCGGCAGAGAGCTCCCCGCCCAGTGCTGGAAAAAGGTAAGTTTTTACCCCTTTCCCCTTTCTAGAGCCGGGCAGGAGGGGGACCCTGAGGGTGGGGGCACCCTCAGGGCACTATAGTGCCAGGAAAACGAGTATGTTTTCCTGGCACTATAGTGGTCCTTTAACCTTTAGACTTAAAAGGACAGAAAGATTATGCCAAAAAAGTAAAACAGAATTCATGAGAATAATTTAGAAGATAAAAGAAAAGAAAAAGGAAGGGACTGGAATGGAGCCAGAAGTTGCAGAACCTCCTGATTTGGAGGTTAACCCCAGTATAAATGTACACAAAGAGAAGAGATGAAGGATGCAACTAGGTGCAGATATGTCTGAAATACAGTTCAGTGAAATATTCATTTGTTAAAACTTAACATTTAATAGATTGGCCAACAAGTCCATTTGGTGGACTATGAAGAACAAAATAACGCACAAAAAATGTATAAAAATAGTGCTATACAAAGAAAAAAACGACACACAAAGATAAATAAGTGTAAAGGCGAAAGAAGCCGACTAGACTGGAACCTTAATGCTTTCTTGTAAAGATACGGGATCTGGAAAACATAGGTAGAAGGTGTCAGAGCTCTATATCTATGGTAACTATTTATATTAATATATGATATATTATATATTTAAATATGCTGATGACAGATTATGTATGTGCTGGTTCCATGTAGCGGAGAGCTGATTCCCCACGGCTTAACTCCACTGGTATATTAGAATAATTCAGGAGCAAGTAGTAAATCCAATAGGATAACCAGCACAATCAGCAAGTCAATCCAATAGTATCCCATCACCTTTCCCAATCACTGCACGACACACAGTATCAGGAGTAGAACTGAACTTTAATGACACGATTCCTGCTTTTATGGGATTCTCCCATGCAAGGGAGGCACCCACCATAATCATTACAGTAACCAATCACATAGACGTTACTTCCCACACATCTCCTCCCCTTAGCTTAACTTATAATATTCATACTTTTCCCCAATTCTTGGATGTACCCCAAATATGGTAGGTACACCTTTAAATGATCTGGGTGAGAAACATATCCAAAAATCACCCAGATCAGAACAGGGGATCAGGAAAGATTTGACAGACCGCACGGGCAAAGTAGCCGAAAATAGTTCCATGAGTTTTGGCCCGCGGTCGGTCTCTGTTCGCGCATCAAAAGTCCCGAAAGTCTATGCCTTCTATAGTTGAGTTCGCCTTCAGATGAATCCCCTAGTTCGTGGCATTCATCCTACCGAATGACGGGCCATTCGTGTGTTTTGATCAGTACTTTCTGAAGTCCCTGGAGGTCTGAGCGGTGTTCGGTTAGTGGCGTGTCCGATTTGAGTTCCAGACACTCGACGACCAAACGCTGTTCGGGAGTTTAAGATGGCCGCCGCCACGTGTTCAGCTGCCAAAATGGCGGCCACCCAGGGAATACAGCAGAGCGTTCGTGTGTTTAAATCAGGGGAAGTAACGAGCATACAGGGAGGTAAATTACAGTCACACTCCATACCAAGGTGGTCCGGTTGTTCGGCACTTTAGTTCGTATGGTGAATACAGCGGTTCACATGCAGACTTGTATATCTTTCCACCGAACACCTTATTGAATCCTAGCATGGCCACATAAGGTTGTAGTCAAATCTGTATAGTCCAGGCACAGGAAAACTCTTAGGTTCCAACAATAATATTATACAGGGAATGTATTGGACAGCCAAAGGGTTTCTGCTACAATTATATATTATATATTTAAATATGCTGATGACAGATTATGTGTGTGCTGGTTCCATATTGTCATGTAAAAAAATGTCACCGGTCACCTTTAAATTTGTATTTACGTCATACAGAATTAAGTCTGCTGGAATAACTGCATGATCACAGTAGACAGACTTCACAGAGATGGAAGCATGCTCTGATACTTCAATGTTAAATATATTTCTCTTCTTTCCTTTATTGAAATATCTTTCAGAGGCAAAATAACTTACCCGTTAGTGCTGTGGGCTTGGATATGTCAGAATTGAGGAACAATTCCTCGGTGGTAATACTCTTCCAGGGATGGCTATCAGGAAGTTCTTTCACTAGTTCCTCCATGGAATATTTAAGGAGGTCCAGCTTTTCATTTGTCTGGTTTAATATTGATTGAGCCTGTTAAAAAAATGAAAAAAAGAGTGTGGGCAATACTTGCATTGCATTTATAAATGATTATAATTCTGTATAGTGCTCAATGTATAACAACTCAGGATTAATCAATAAAATCTGGAAAGTAGCAAATCAAAATCTGAACTGCAAATATTTAAACTAAAATTAGTGATTTGGAGAAATTCCAATCTCGGCTTTAGTCACAGTGTGTCTATGTTTATCTCAGTTTTGTAATTCAGATTTTAATTCCCTACAAGTCAGAGTTTATTGTAGCCCCTTGGAGCGGCCGCATTTTAGTAGAAAGGGGCTCTGACAGGGCTAGGAAGCGGGCATAGGTGGAACAGTAACAAGATTGGTAGATTGGGTCTAAGGGGTGGGAGCATATATATATATATATATATATATATATATATACAGGCAGCCATCTTAGGAATAGGCAATTTTAATGTAACGTGTGAGTACGGTTTGTCACTCTGGTGTGTGCAGACTCTGTTTAGTGGGTTTTCCCTTTTTTCTTTAGCAGGATGGCGTCCCCAGAGGAGATGATCAACTGTGTTCGGGCAGGTGCACGGATCCATGGAGAAGATTGGATCCAGGAGAGGCTCGGAGCGATGCTGGTGGCGTCGGCGGAGCCGGAAGGTCGGCTGGGGGACAGGCACACATGTGCGCCTTAGCCCTGGTGGAGCCTCCATGGTGGTGTGAGCGGGCAATGTAAGGTGCGCAGCGCCCTATTGCATGGCTGGAAGCCAGCGCTCTGGAGGGGGATCTCTTCCAAAGCCACCCGGTGTAGACAGAGGAAAACGGGGGCGGCATGCTCGGAGGACAGTGGGCATGGTGGAGGTGATGGAGTGGCTCCTTCTTCAACAGGAACTGCATCCGGGGTGCCGGCCCCTGCGGGCAGTGAGCCTTGAAGCAGCAGGACAGGTGGTGCCGCAATACGGGGTTGTGCACCCTGGCGGCGGATGGTGGAAGGTGGGAGCTGCGATTCCTGGTGGTCAGCAGAGCCAGCAAGTGCAGTTGCGGTGACAGCAGGCCCTTTAACTCTTGGGGATTCTGTTGCTGAGGTGCCTGAGGGGTTGGGTACCTTCCCTAATGTGCTGCCGGGGGCCCCTCGGCTGGGGGGCCCCTTGGGAGGTGAGGGCAGGCCCATGACAATGAAGCTGAGTGGGTCCAAGGCCCAGGGTGCAAATCTGGCGAGCGGCTTAGCGGGTCATGCAGGCGCATCGGGGGGGGGGCACGGGGTTCCCAGGAGATAGCGGTGCATGTCTGGGCTCGGGAAAGAAATGTGGAAGCAGACATCCGTGAGATGGGCACTGGATCCCATGGTGGGGCGGGGGATCCATCAGCGATACGGCCTTCTGCTGGAAATTCACAGAGGGAAGGCAGTGGACCACAGGTCCGTCCGGGGGGAGGCGTGTTCCTGGTAGGCCAGGTGACATATCGCATAGCAATGAAAAGGCCCCGGGGCCGCACTTTGAAACAGACTAGTAAGACTTGTGGTGCTGTCTGTAGCGAGCGCGGGAAGGTCCAGGAGTAGCAGGTCTACTAGTGCGGTGCTAGGAGATGACAGCAGTGCGAGCAGCTCCTCCGCAGGATGCTCTGGGAGGTCAGAGGGGGTGCATCAGAGCAGGCGGAGGGTATCCCACAGTCGGAGTTGCAGCCTCAGGGGTGGGGTCAGCGGGGCTTCCACTCTCTAGGTGATCAGAGGAGCCTAGGGAAGAGACGGGATGCTTGGAAGTCATGCAGGCAGCCCCAGGATTGCGGTGCGAAGGTTGTGCATGAACGGTGCACCCTGCCCAGGAATTTTTGTTCTCATTCTAGCTCACTGAGTGGATCATCTTCCAGGTGGTTTCCCCAGTTGTTCCGAAGAGCATGGTGGCATCTTTTTCCGGAAGGATCCGAGGAGCAGCCATGGGGTCTTCACAGACATTGCTTGACAAGTTAAAGCAACTGATAGACTCTTGTAGTGGGGGTGACTCTGGGGGTCAATTGGGGCTTCAGGGGATGCGGTCGTGAGTCTTGGGCCCGTTGCCGCTGGGCACGATGCCGGTGAGGCTAGAAGAGATGTTACCATGGTTAGCTGTTACGGTAGAAAGGGGGATGTGTATTTGTTAAGGTACGGTTTCTTGGATAGGGATAGGGTGCTGTGTTCGGTCTTCTATGCATCATTTGAGCAGGTAGTTGAGTTGGTTAGGACTGCCGGGCATCACGCCCGTATGGCAAAGGTGGATGTGGAAGCTGCATTTCGACTGCTGCCTGTTCATCCGGATTGTCATCACTTGCTGGGCTGCAGTTTTGATGGTCAGTTCTTCGTTGACCTATGTCTCCCGATGGGTTGTTCTATCTTGTGCTCCTACTTCGAGTTCAGCACTTTTTTGGAGTGGGTGGTGCGGCAGGAAGTGGGGAGTCGAGCGATGGTCCATTATTTGGACGTCTTTTTGTGCATGGGTCCTGGGAACTCTTCATTGTGCCTGCATTTGTTGCGTACCATTCAGTGGGTGGCCAGGTTGTTTGGGGTCCCTTTGGCGGCAGATAAGATGAAAGGCCCCATGGACTGTATTTGCTTCCTGGGGCTGGAAATCTATTTGGCAAAGGGTGAATATTGGTTGCCTGGGGACAAGCTCGAGGGAAGTGCGTCAGGCCAAGAAGGTCATGCTTCGGGCATTGCAATCACTGCTCGGCAAGCTCAACTTTAATTCCAACTGGGCAGGTTTTCAGTAGCGGCCTGGCTCAGGCTACGGCAGTAGTGAGGTCACTGCATCACTTTGTATGGGTGACGGCGGCCATGAAGGAGGATTTGGCGGTTTGGGACACATTTCTACAGGATTTTAATGGCACTGTGTTGTTTCGTGAACTGGTGAAATTGGCGGCTGACTTGGAGTTGTTTACAGATGCCTCAGGGAGCATGGGCTTTAGTGCGTACTTCGGGGGGTAGGTGGTGCGCATCATCATGGCTGGCATCGTGGATGGGGAGACCACTCATGTGCAACTTGGCCTTTCTTGAACTCTTCCCATTAGTGGTAGCTCTATCACTCTGGGGGCCTCTGCTCAAGGACAAGAAGGCCATGTTTCACATGGACAATATGGCCGTGGTGTATGCAGTCAACAACCTGTCGGCATCCTCGGAGCTGGTGGTACGCCTTCTGCAGCGGCTCATTTTTCTGTGTATGTCTCTCAATATTGTTTTTGGCACCCGGCACGTTCCAGGTTATTTGAACAATGTGGCTTATGCACTTTCTCATTCACAGTAGTCCCGGGCCCGGGGGCACAGGAGGTCAGGGAATTGTAAGATGTAGTTGCTCGGGACAGCTTACTTGGGGCATTCGTGAGGTCGTCCTTGGCCCCGGGAATGTGGTCTGCTTATTGTAAGGTTTGGGGTCGTGGGAGAGGTTGTTGAGCGAGAGTAAGGGGTCTGCTTTGGCGGGTTCACTATAGTTTACGTTCGATTTGCTGAGGAAGGGCTCATTGCTAGTGGTTGTGGACAGGCACATGGCAGCATTGGTGTTCTTGTTTAAGTTACATGGGTGGGATGACCCGACGATATACTTTCTTATTAGACAGGCACTGAAGGGCCTCCGCAGGGGTTGGAGGGTGCAAGATGCACGTAGACCAGTGTCCGTTCGCCTTTTGGGAGGGCTGTTTAAGGTTTTGCCTGAGTTTTGCTTTAGCAACTACGAAGTACTTCTATTTGGGGTAGAGTTTCACCTAGTGTTTTTCGGGGCAGTTCGCGTTAGTGAGCTCGTCAGTGCCAATCGGGAAGGTGGGGGGCATGCAATGGAGAGACGTTTCGGAAGTTGGGGATAAGGTGATCGTTCATTTGGCCCATTTGAAAACGGATGTGTGTGGAAAGGATACGAATATAGAATTGCATGCTTTCCCTGGGTCCCTCTTCTGCCCAGTTGGCGGTGGAAAGATACTTGGGGAAGCGTCCGGCAGGGGGGTTCCTTTTTGGTCTACATGGACGGGTAATCGCTGTTTAGGTTCCAGTTTTTCTGGGATTTTTGGCCTTGTCTAGGAGTCTTGGGGTTGTACCCGGAACAGTTTGGAACGCACTCGTTCCATATTGGAGCAGAAACGGAGGTGACTCAGTTGGGGTTTGGTGAAGAATTGGTTAAGAGGATTGAGAGGTGGGAATCGGTGTGGTTTCGCTTCTACGTTCGCCTGGGTAAGTTGGTGTGATGGGGCAAGGGGTGCTGGTTCTTGGGTGTGATGCTAACTTTGCATTTTTCTTTCCCTAGGTCATGTGGCATGGACCATTGGGCACTCAAACATCTTCTGGGCTAAGAGGAAAGCTGCAGTTCGTTTTAATGGTCAGCAACTGGGCTTTCCTGAGGAACAGTTGGTGTTAAAATGGAGTGGTTACCGAGGGTTCGGATGGAGATTGGTGTGCAGGGAACTGTTTCGTTTGGTGCAGGGAGGTAGACGGCCTAATTTTATTGTCTTCCATAAAAGGGGTAATGATTCCACAGAGGGACCTGGTTAGATGGATGAAGCAGGATATCAACGGGATTAGGGATGTGGTACCGGGGGTCATGGTCCTCTGGTCAGATATTGTAATGCGACTTCGGTGGTGTCATGCAAGGAATGCAGAGTGATTGATCACTGTCGATGTTAGGTGAACAGTTTAATGGCTAGCTGCATTCTGAAGCTGGAGGGGTTGTGGTCAGGCACAGGGAACTGGAGAATAGATTGGCTGGGTATTTCCAGCAAGGCAAAATGCACCTTTCAGAGGTGGGTTGGGATTTGTTGAATCTGGAGTTTCAAGAGTAGCTTAGCAAGGCGCTGTTTTTGCAGGGTGACGGAGCTCAGACGTCTTAAGGGGTCAAGGTCCGAGCTTGTGGCAAGGCTGTTAAAGGGAAGAAAATGGGGGGATAGGGATTTTGGAGTTAGAAAAGGAGCAAGGGGTAGGTAAAAAGGAATGGTGAAATGGAATTGGAGTTATAAGTTGGTTATGGTGTTGGGAGGTTTCGGGTCCATAGGTGGCTCAGAACCTCGGAGGGGTGGGGGTATTCAGATATACCCTCACCACTGGGCTGTTAAGAAAATGGTGGCACTTTATTGGTTATGTGTTATATATTATTATATGTTATTTATTGTTAGTCATTGCCCTATTAATTATTAGATCTGCTAAATTATCAGACGGCAATAGGTGGCGGGCAATGACTTTTATTTATTATTATGTTATGTTAAATAAAAGCTGTGGACAATTTTCCCCATACACAGACATGTTGTGTTTTATTAAAGAGGGTGGGGATGGTTTGATAGGTACAGATTCACCTGCCCATATGGCGACACTGCACCTGTCATTAAAAAAAACTGTAAATAACTTAAATGCAGAATGTATGTATGTATGTTTCTATAGATTAAAGTGGGTATAACGGCAGATCAATGCAGAACATACAACATGTTATTGGCTTTTAATAAAACTAAAGGGAATTAAGCAATTGGGAGAATTTTAAAGGGACACTATAAGCACACAGACCACTTTAGCTTATTGAAGAGGTCTGGGTGCAGGGTCCCTGTCCTCCTTAGTCATATTAGTCCTGCAATGTAAATCATTACAGTTTTCGATAAACAGCAATGATTACATTACAGGACTAAGACTACCTCAATCAGACAGCCAGTAGAGACTTTTGGTTAAAGTGACGTTAGTAGTCTGATGCTGGACGCCCTCGCGCTCTGCACTGAAGCAATGCTTTCCTATGGGGAGGGCCTAATTCACTTGCGGCACTCGCCATGCATGCGCAGTAGCCACCCCTCCAGGAGTCGGGTAAGTGTTAACAGGGATTTTGTAACGCGGGAAGGAGAAAGGGTGTGAGGAAGGAGGCAGCCAGTGGGAACTAGAGTGTATGGAATACAACTTTGTTTGCCTTACACTATAGATTCCCTTTAAATAAAGCATTATAAAGAAGCAGATATAAGATACAGAACAAATGGTCCCACAAAGACTTCAAACAACAAAAGTCTCAGAAAAGATAATATAAATGTGTAATTTGTATATTATTTATCAAGCGGAATTTGTTGGTGCTTTATAAATAATAATATTAATAATAAACCAACGCTGCTTGGCTAATGCCAACAAACCCCCAGACAGACATTGAAAGCCCATTCTTCATTCTGGGGATAAAATGGCTAAAAGAATACGCTTTATAACTGACCTCAACAAGTGGCTTTCCATGATCTAATGCCTTGATGGCACGTTTGGCTCCTTCAGCCACGGCACGCTCGATCACAAATCGGTGGCCCAGCTCCTCAATGCGTTTATCCAATGTGCCGATAGCAGGTGTTGCTAGGAGACAAATGAATACATTTTATTATATTAATGGTAAAAAGGAAATTGACACGGTAGCTTCAGGTGTCACATGCCATTTCTATAAGGTTTCTCTGCATATTTCTTTATGTATCAGGCACTGTTTCAGACACAAACTATTTTAAAGGGACAGGTTAGACACCAATCATGGAATAACTCATCTCATAGGGTTTCATTCAAACATTATTGAAAAATATTGTAAGAAATAACATATGAATCATAGATGCTTTCCCTCTGTATCTTACCTTTTCCTGTTTTTTTTTCAAGTGTGGCGTGGTCCTTTAATGATGTGTAATCTGGTAACTTTAATGGGATATGTGATATGGATATGATATATGGTTACACAGTTACAGATGTACTTAAATGTGTTAGTGGTATCCACATCAGTCCATCCTTGCAAGCACGCTGTCTTGGTGTCATACTTGATTCTGGCCTCGCCTTTGAACCTCACATATAGTATGTTGTCAAATCCAGTAGAATCCGCATCCGCCCCTTTCTTACGCAAGATGCTACCAAGGAGCTTGTCCAGCCTCTAGTAATTTCCCGCATGGATTATTGTAACCCTCTCCTGGGCCACCTTACATAACTATCTCCTGCTCTCTCCTATAGGGCAGCACTCTACTCTCTGCTTGACTCTCACCTTATTTGATTCCTGTCCTAATGTGTTTTATACCCCACCTCCTATAGATTGTAAGCTTGTTTGAGCAGGGTCCTCTTCAACCTATTGTTACTGTAAGTTTTTTGTTTTTTTTAAATTGTCCTCTTTATGGTTAAATCCCCCCCTCTCATAACATTGTTAAGTGCTACGGAATCTGTGTTTTATTGTACCTGGATGTTCCCCTGCTCCTTGCTCAATAATATTGTTAACTTGCGTTTCGCTGACCTGAAAAGGCAGAAATAAAAAGAATTAGAAACCCACAGGCTCTTTGCCAGAAGAAAAGGCTCACAACGTGTTTGTGTTTCTCAGTGTGTGCTGTCCCTACTAACACCTTGCACCCGTTTACTATGTGCTGGATTGTATGGGAGGACTCTGGGGTTGGCACCGTGGGTCCTGTCTCAAATGGTAGATCCAGCTTCTATTGATCTGGTGCTAAGTGTCTGTTCCTGTGTCTCAGTGCTGTCTTTCATTCCTGATGTATTTATTATATACATATACAGGATATATATGTATGTAAACCTCCTAATAACAATACTCTATAATACTTCCACATGACATACCAGTAACTGAAATGAATAAAGGGCAAGGAGTTCATACCACGAAAACTGATACAGTGCTTGGGACATTAAATACTGAGCCATGAATGGGTTAAATATTGAGGAAAGAATAAAATGACAGATCTGTGTGTAACCCCCCAGTGTTCCCCATTAATAATCATATAAAGGGTCCCATCTGTATTCTCTTTCTCTTTCTACACTGGGGATTTAACATGATAAAACTCTCAGATAATAATAATATGTAGAACTGGAACCTTATACAGAAAATCAAGTCTTTTACTTACATCACAGCGTACACATGAAAAACATGAGAAAATAGTTCTACTATCTCCCATCTTTAGCTACGTTATCACCTCAGCAGCTAAGCAGTGTCTACTGTCTAAGCAGTGTCTACTGACTGAACTGTGCTCAGCAAGGATGATGTCACGGTGATGTCACAGGGAACAATCAGACTATCTATAGCTATCTCTGCCTTGCAATATCTACTGACTGAACTGTGCTCAGCAAGGATGATGTCACGGTGATGTCACAGGGAACAATCACCCTATCTATAGCTATCTCTGCCTTGCAATATCTACTGACTGAACTGTGCTCAGCAAGGATGATGTCACAGTGATGTCAAAGGGAACAATCAGACTAGCTATAGCTATCTCTGCCTTGCAATGTCTACTGACTGAACTGTACTCAGCAAGGATGATGTCACAGTGATGTCACAAGCAACAATCAGAATTTGATCCATCACAGGTCCACCCATCATAATAAAAACTAAATCCATCTATTTATCTATCTCTATCTATCTATATACACACACACACATATATATAGTTAGAGAGAGAGAAAGATATTTATTTAATAACATTATTATTATTATTATTATTATTATTATTATTTAAATCTGTCTGCTTACCTACTATTCTAATTATTCAAATGAAAGTGAAAAAGTGAAAATTGATCCTAATGAAGATGTTTTATTGTTTATTTTTTCATCTAGAAAAAGGCTATTAGTACAGATTTTAACAGGAACCGGATAGAAAAATATATTTTTTTAACATTACAAATAATAGGGAATTAGCTATTGCAGTTATAAGCCAGGAATAACCTTATGTTTTTATTTTAATAAACTAAGTTATAAAATAAGGAATGATTCCTTAATTAAGATAATTTCACCATTAAACCCCAAATGTGTGTAAGATAAAAAATGTAAAAACAAATTTTTTAAAATGCTATAGAAGGACCAATCCAATGAATATTTGTAAGTGTAGAAAGGGAAGAGACATTGTTGTGGTTGCGTGTGGTGTACTATGTGTGTGTAAGCATGTGAATAGGGGCTGTACATGGATAGAACCATACTAATCCTTTAGAATGGGCTATCAACGTTCTTTGAATAAAAGAGCTTTAATGGCTAGATCTCAGCTCAGGTACAGGGCCCTCTTTACCGTTTGCATTGCTCTGTGTATGTTGTATAGCGCTGGGAAATATGTCGGCGCCTTGTAAATGGCAGTAATAATTAATCATATATTACGTACATACTTTCTGTATATGTGATGTCCTATTTACTTTAGGATTAATATTTCCAAAATGTGTTGTTTTATTATTATTATTATGTTATTATTTATATAGCGCCAACAAATTCTGCAGTGCTTTACAATGGGTGGATGAACAGACATGTAGTTGTAACCAGACAAGTTGGACACACAGGAACAGAGGGGTTGAGAGCAATGCTCTATGAGCTTACATGCTAGAGGGAGTGGGGTAAAGTGACACAAAAGGTAAGGATAGTGAGAGGAATCAGTCGGGAGCTATTAACAGTTTAATCTTCATGGAGAAGTGGGTTTTTAATGATTATGTTTGAAGAAGTGGAGACTGGGTGAGCATCTAACAGAGGAGGGAAATGAGTTCCACAGGAATGGTGCAGCCCTGGAGAAGTCTTGAAGGTGAGCCTCAGAGGTGGGAGTAGGGACAGTAGATGGACGTAAGTCTTCAGCAGAGCGTAAGGGCCTACACGGGACATACTTGTGTATTAGTGAGGATAGCTAGGTGGGAGCAGCATTATGTAGAGATTTGAAAGCAAGAATTTTTGAGCCCTATATCTTACAGGCAGCCAATGTAGGGACTGACAGAAGGGTGAGGCATGGGAGGTGCGGGTGGACAGGAAGATGAGCCTCCCCGCCACATTCATTATGGACAGTAACGGAGTAACTTGGGAGCACGTAAGACCACTGAGAAGTGGATTACAGTAGTCAAGGCAAGAAAGGACAATGGAATGGATCAGCACCTTAGTCGCATCTGGCGTTAAGTAGGGTCGGATGCGCGCAATGTTTTTGAGATGGAAACAACAGGATTTGGGGATAGACTGAACATGAGGCGTTAAGGAGAGGTTGGAGTCAAAGAGAACACCTAGGCAGCGAGCCTGCGTGGTGGAGCTGATGGTAGCACCGTTGACTTGGAGGGAGACAGACACAGGAGTAGCAACACTTGAGGGAGGAAAGAATAGAATTTCAGTTTTGGTCAAGTTGAGTTTAAGGAAGTGGGCAGCCATCCAGTTAGAAATAGCAGAGAGGCAGTCAGAGACACTAGTCAAGAGGGACGGGGAGAGATCAGGAGAAGACAGGTAGATTTGCTTGTTATCCACATAGAAATGATATTAGAAGCTAAAGGAGCTAATGAGTTTACCAAGGGAGGCAGTATAAATATAGAACAGTAGGGGACCAAAGACTGAACCTTGGGGGACACCAACAGAGAGGAGTTGGGGAGAAGCAGAGCAAGAGAAAGAAACACTGAAAGAGTGATGGGAGAGGTAGGAGGAGCACCAGGAGAGAGCAATATCTTGTAGACCAATATTGCGGAGGATGAGAAGAAGCTGTTGATGAACAACAGTGTCAAAATCCGCAGACAGGTCAAGGAGAATTAGGATAGAGCAGTGACCACGAGATTTTGCAGCGAGTAGATCATTGAATACTTTGGTCAGTGCCGTTTCCACAGAGTGCTTAGGACGGAAACCAGACTGGAGGGGTTATAGCAGAGAGTTAGACTCGAGGAAGTCTGTCAATCTTGCATACACAACTCTTTCAAGGATCTTGGATGCAAAAGGCAGTAGTGAGATAGGACGATAGTTGGATGGGGAGTTAGGGTCAAGGTTGGGCTTCTTTAGAATTGGTGCATGTTTGAAGGGTGATGGAAATATGCCAGAGGAGAGAGAGAGAGAGATTGACTTATTTCTTGCAGGACAAATAACTTTTGATGAACTTAAGATGACATTACACTTTTCGAAACAAAGATTTTTTAGACTACTTAAAAGTTAAATCGTATATAAAAAAAAGTTAAAGCTCCCTTGTGAAGATGAGAACTTTATTAACCTTATTTTATTAACTTTATTAACCTTAAGGACACTAAGAAATTACTCTCTAAAACAAGTCTTCTACTATATAACATGGGAAATGGAACACAGATTTAAAGATACAAATTCTTTGTGGAGAATGGTGCAACTCCATCTTGATGCTTAATAAATATACACACTGCCTGAATTTGAATGATTTACACTATAAGATTATAAACAGATGGTATTAAGTCCCAAAAAGGCTAAATAAGATATTTCCTACTCAATACCATGAATGTTGGAGATGTGGGACTAATGAGGCAGATTTCTTACATATCTGGTAGGAATGTCCAACCATTAAAGAATTATGGCAAGGTGTGGGAGAAAATAAATAAAAATCTTAAAGAAATCAATACCTCTAAAACCAGATCTGATGCTCCTACATATCAACATCCCGAATCTAAAAAAAAAAAGGATATGATTTTGATACTCCATGTGCTGACAACTATTAAGATAAGTATAGCTAGAAACTGGAAAAGCTTGTTTATACCTGATCAGACATCAAATAAACCACCAAATAAAGATGTAAAAGTTTATCCTGACAAGCTATAATAAAAAAAACTAAGATACAGTGGTTTTTGGGATGAAACAAACTTAATAAATTTGGTATAACATAAAAATATATAAATCTAGGGGAAGTCTAAAAGAATAGATTATGCCTACCCTCCCCCTCCTCCCGATTCCTTAGGATCAAGAGACAATAATGTGATGTCTTTTTTTTTTTTTGTCTGTGTCCAGCGGTTTGGTGTCCTGTGAATAAGACTTAGGTAGATTAAGGAAACATGTTGGATAACAGCAGCTCTTTTTTAATGCAGAATATAATGGCATTAGATATTAATAGAGTTGCTGTCTTTAATAGCATGTGTATAAATTAATTTTCTTGTGTGTATTTGTTTTTAATATTTTGAGAAAAATATTGTGAAATAAAAATTATATTTAAAAAAAATCTGATTGCCAAAGAGAATAAAAAAGTCACAAATTAGAATAATCATTAGCAATGTGAATGTCAATACACCTTCGTCATAGTGTCACTTAGTTTAAGTTTTTGAGCATGTGATCTTTTCATCTTTTCCCATTTTAGTTTGTTGGATGGAAAGTTTCAGTTAATGGGCCTGTGAAGGACTCTTTGATTTTGGATAAAGTATGCATAAATGAGGTGCTGTTGAGTTAATTACAAAGAACAAATCTTTTCAGATTTAGTTAGGCACAGATGGGGATGGAACTCATGATCTTTGGTTTATGAGGCCAATGCCTTACCACTTGGCCACTGTGCAAGAGCACTGTGAAAGGTAGGAGGAGGGTTAGGAGTAGGGTTAGGGTTGGATGAGAGCAGGGTTAGGTTAGCGTAGGGTTAGGGGAAAGGTTAGGAGTAGATGTGGGTACCTCTAAACCTAACCCTACCCCAACCATAACCATAAACCTATACTAACCCTACCCATAACCCTACTCTCATCCAACCCTAATTCTAACTTTAATCTTAACCCAACCCTAACCCTACTCCTACCCTAGCGCTACCCCTTAACCCTACCCTACTCTTAAACAAACCCTAACGTGACCCTACCCCTAACCTACCCCTAACCTAACATTACCTCTAACACTATCCCTAACCCTACCCACTAACCTAACCCTACACTTACCCGAAGTCCAGAAGTTCCGAAATGCCGAGGTGCCGAAGTCCCGAATTTGGGAATGCCGAACCGAATAATTTTCCCATGCACATCCCTACTGTTTAAGCATGTATATTACATGTACTATCATTGATATTGACTCCTTGTTCCCCTTTTTAGGTTGTCTACATCTGTATACTAACACTAGGAATATGTCTACAGTGTCTCCAGATCTGGCTTACGGAGCATTAGTTTGTGTTTGTTGGTTTTATTTTATCTATCCTAGGTATTACAATGGTACTTGAGGCACATAACCCATCACACTTAGCCGTTCCCATGCTGTAGTGTATATTTCACCTGTTTTTACATTCTCTCACTAAGTTTTTAGCACTCTGTTCACACACACACACACACATCCTCTCTGCCCGCTTGTTTGCCCTTTACCCCGATATGCTTAATTTTTGTTTCCTCCGTGTATGGGTTTCGATTGCTAGACTTTATGCATTCTATTCACTAGTTTCTCCTTACCTAGCAACCACACCTGCTGGGAAGCATGGTGGTTTCCCTACAACAACGTTCACTAATGAACATTTCCTGGTGACACAGGGAGTCCGACACCTCTGGGTGGTTCAGTAAGCAGGCTGTCTTCTCACTTAACTGGCAAGTTAATTTTGATTGACTATATATTTGTGTGGATCTTGATAAAGACCTGAATGGGTCGAAATGTCTTTTGTTTGTTTGTTTGTTTGTTTTTTAACAGTTTTCATTTAAAAAATGTTAAATACAGATTTTCAGATTTGAAGACCTTGAAAATATCAGTGTTCCTGACACTGCAGGTTCCTGCAGTGCCCCTTCCCCTCCCCATTCTATGTTGCTGAAGGGCTTAAAACCCTTTCAGTGACTTACCTGAATCCAGCGCTGATGTCCCTCGGTGCTGGATCAGGTTTCGCAATAGCCGCGTGCATTAGACCCCAAAGAAAAATGGAAACCAAATTACATGCATATATTTGTGGTATATCTACAAACTGCTGTAACAGCGTGCTACTTTAAAACATTTTCTACATTTCAACTAGTTAGCAGTTAAATTAGTGGATAAAATGTTCCCTTATCTTAAACAAAATAAATCAGTTCTTAAACTATTGTTGTATCCTATCTCAATCTTGGATGTATTTGTGAGTTGAAAAATGCGTTCAGCTACAATCAGACTTACTGGATTCTGCAGCTTTGACTTCCTAAGTTACCTCAGACTTTTGATTGGTCTGCATGCCACATGTAATGTCCTTTGGGCGTTATCGGCTTTCCATGGCCAGTGAATATATTCCACAATGTGTGATACAGAACATCTGTCAGTAGCATCAATGGCCAACATTAGTCTGAAGAAATGCTGGGATTCTGTGGTAACCATCCTCCACTCGGCTGGTATTGGCACAGTGTCTCTAAATAACTGCCAGTGGACAAACTGCAAATATTGTTGGTCCCTTGGTAAAGCCTCATCCCATGGGAAACAGCCAGTGAGCATCACATACACCAGGATTCCAAATGTCCACACATCAAGGCTAGGATGCAATAATAACTGCTCACTGTCTTCAACAATGCAGAGTTCAGGAGCCATGTAGGGAATGATCCAGGACATTCATGGTACATAGGTTCCCTGGAGTTGGGTGAGTCCAAAGTCTGCAAGTTTGATGCAATGGCATTCATGGTCCATGAGCAGAATATTATTCAGCTTGATGTCCCAATGGACCAGTCCCTTGTAGTGCATGAACTCCAAAGCACTCGTCAGCTGAAGAATGCAGCGCTTCACAATGTCCTCTTGTATACCAACCTGTAAAGGTGAGAAGAGAATGATAACTGAATCCGTCAGACATAAAAGATATTAATTTATATTTACAATAACAATGGATTGGGGACGTGGGGGGCGGGGGGGAGGATGCTGGTATAATGTTTATTTACATGGGAATTACACTGGATTATTTAGACCATATTAAAGAAATGTTATGAATTTAGAAAAAAAACAAAACTACATGCATGACAATTTTTGGTGTTACGATGGAATGTAGTGTCCCAGCTGGTACAACCTCCTGAACAAACACATAGCTGCTTGGTGTTTTGAAGGCCATTCTAAAGGTGGTAATGATATGTGGTTGAATCCCAAGGTAGACGCAGGTACTATTTTCCAAGAGGAAATTATCTGCTAAAGTCTTCTCCTTCAACAGCATTTTCAAGGCCACCAGCTGTCCTGCTAACAAAACAAAATATACTGTGATCTCCAGCTACTCAGGTTTATACAGATAATAGTTTTAGAAAACCATGTCTTTCAGTTTATGGACTGTAGCAATTTCTTGAGGTGCCAAAAAGCATCTGCATTGTAATTTACCCTGCTAAATGCAGAAATCCATTAGAACTAACCCTGTATAAAATAAAGGACTCCAGTTTTTATAAAAGTTTTTTTACAAGCTAATGTAACTTACCTGAACGCCTGTGATTGGCGAGGAGAACCTTCCCATAAGAATCTTTGCCCAGTTCTTTAATTGGGTCAAAGTGATCCATTACAGACATCCTCATCATGGTCTGAGATGTCTCTCCCACCAGCTGCAGAAGATCCTTTGCTGTCTCCTTAGTGACATCCAGGATTGTAGCAGCTATTCTAAAACAAAAGAAAGTGATCAGTGTAATTTATATCATTAAACATTTAATATAAATGTATTCCTGCCTCATTTAGCCTACAGGTCTTAGCACTGGCTGAAGGTGCTCTGAAGATGCAGTTAATGTAAGAGTAAGCAGTCCGTGCCTTCTTTGGGGACACAAACCATGATTACTGTTCTGATAGAATAAAGGTTGTATGCAATTAGCTGTGCAGAAGGGTTGGGGAAACATGAGTTTATTGTCCTTACATTATTAGAAGATCAAATGGTAAATGTACAAACCAAAAAACATATGCACTAGGGGGGTGGAGCCAACCATGCAAGTGAATGGACGCACATTGAAACAGCTCCGTCTGACTAAGGGGGAAATCCGCCTCCATTGAGCTGCAAAAACAAAATGGGACACCTCAAAAGGTCATCATCCAGCCAGCAAACAACCTCCAAACACCCGATAGGGAAATCTGGAGCGCTAACAAAATTTTTGGGGGACCACGTCGACCATCAGACGAGCGTGCTAGGCCCCAACATGGCGACGGAATCCTCACAATATAGTTTTGCCCCATCCAGCCCAGAAGGCTCTGGGGGATCAGTATGCCCAAACAAACAGCAACCTCAAAGAGGTAATTAGAAACCTACCTTCCAAAGCTGATATAGCCTCCATGTTGGGAAAACTGGAAGTTTCTTTCCAGGCACAAATGGCGTCACTGGGGACCGACATTCGTCAAATAGGCGAAAAAGTACAAGTCCTGGAAGATGACAGGGATGTCCTAAACTCACAAATAATAAGCCTCCAAGAAACCGCTGCATCACACAACGCACACTTAACGGCGATATACCGACAGTTGGATGACGTCGATAACAGAGGGCGCAGGAACAGAACAATCTGTGAATTAAAGGACTCCCAGAACAAGATCAGGAAGACCTTACAACTACACTAACTGACATGTTCAATCGAATACTGGGCAGACCAGAGGACACCCCCCTAATACTAGACAGAGCTCACAGGGCCAGAAACCAAAGGGATCCCAAAGAGACCAACTGAGAGATGTGGTGTGTAGAATTCATTATTACTCCCTTAAAGAAGAAATTCTCTGCGCCCTAATACAAACCTCCCAACCTATACTATACCACAATGACCCTATACAAATATTCCCAGACCTCTCTTGGCAAATGCTCCAGGCACAACGTACACTAAGACCAATTACAGAAACACTTCGGACCCGAAACATACGCTATAGATGGGGCTCCCCCTTGCATTAATTGCCACTCATAACGGTAGAACTCATACTCTCACATCACCCCTGAATGTACGTATATTCACACAGGCCTTAGACCTACCAGATATTCAAATCCCTGATTGGTACGGTATCAACCAGCAGACGACATTCCATCTTCCCCAACAACAACAACGGCAACAATGGCAAACACCAGCCAGGAAAAAAAGAAAAGAACCCGCAGAATCACCACAAAATCCAAATATGTCAAAAGGTGTACCCAACAGATAAGGACACAGCCCCAAAAAGAAACCAGTTCCAGATACCCCAAAACCTACTCTACCTAATTTATGGACTTACCACTATCTGCATATCTTCGACCCGGACAATAAAAGGACTTTGACTCCCACAACTACAATCCTCCACAAAGAAAACACAGACGGATAACCAACTCTCAAACAGGACTACCTATGATACCTAAACTACTCTTCGGATTTCCTTCTCACCTACCTAAAATTCAAGACATGCCTCATAGACTGTGAAATACAAAACGGACCACTAACAACGTCCCGCTACCATTCCTGCTTACATCCGCATCTACTACATAAAGGGTCACGTAAGACTTTATAAGTGCAACTGTGATCGACTTGAATATCTTGTTTAATGCCATGCCTCACTATTAATTGTAATACATTGTCTCAAGGCTATATACAACTATGCTCCCTATGTATTAACTCCTCCCCCCCTCTATAAAATAAAATAAAAATAAATAAATAAATAAAAAAAGAAAGGAAAAAACCCTCCCTCC